GTTACAAGAAAAAAGATTTAAACAAGTTCAGTGAGTGCAGCTTCAACTATCAGTCTGCAGTGACATCTAGTGTCTAACGTGTGTTCTTGTTTTGTCAGGTGAAAATCCAAAATGAGCCGGTACTCWTCAGGTAAGCACAAAAATAACTAAAAAAATTTTTTTAATTGAGCTTTCTTTGTTGGAGAAACCGACAAACTTAGTCTTCTGACTATCTGTATTTAGCGAATTTATTTAAATTGTTTTATCAAACARATCAAGGCAAAATAAAATGTAAAAATCAAGTCAAACATTCGTCAAGATTCCAGTGAATAAAAAAAACTCACGGAGGCAAAGACATACAATTAATGTATACATAAATGACAAAACCATCAAATYAAAAGGGTCTAAACCACATGTGTCAAACTCAAGACCCTCCTGTGGCCCATAAGRGCATCAAATATGTATTAATGTCTTTAAAATAAATGTATGCTGCTTTAAAGCTAGCATTAACGTTAAACTACATCTTCTGTATTTGAAAAAATAAATCTCCTATTAATGAACGTCTGTTATTTTACCAACAAAAATTTAAAATGCTGTTTCTATGTAGGATGTACCACATAGAGCTCTGGTATCTGCTCAGCCGTAGCAATGAGACAAAGAATGYGGCGTTTTGTGCTTAGTTGAAATGAAACACGGAAAGGTTGAAGATAATTAACCTTTGAGGGCCACTGTGGCCCTCGGTGAAAAGGAGTTTGACAGACTTGGTCTAAACAGTTTGAGCTTTAACTCGTGCACAAAACGTGTTTATTTAGTGAATGTGTAATTAGTTTCCCCTTGTTTGTCTGCTCTGGTGTTGCAGGCAAGGCAGGTCTTCTGCAAGACAACAGCTGGATCAAGAAACCAGACGATGAGGATGAAGCAGTCGAGTGAGTGACACTCCAACAGACTCAGACACACACACATGCATGCACAGTCTAGTACAGCTACAGTATCTTTATGGGGACATTGCATTGACTTCTATTGATTCCTACAGCCTAACCCTGCCCCTGTACTCTAAACCTAACCCCCAAGCCAACAATGACTTATCCCTCCATTGGGATAAGGCTTAGATTCCCATAAGTACCAGTTGGTCCCCACAAGTAGATGTGTATGCCAAAAATTGTCTCCACATAGTAGGGAATGCCCTCTCAAACACACACACAATGACCGAACAGACAGGTGCAGCTTGTACTCAGCACACCTTGTTACATTCCTTTTCACGCGTCACATTGACTCATCGCCGCCTGAATGAACAGAKGTGATCATTGTCCTTTTGTCTTCTCTCCCAGTGAAGACCCCAACTTTGGCCGGAGCGTTTTGGGTCGAACTAGAGCTGATGAGACTTCTGTGARGTAAAAAGAATGAAAAACAAACCAGAAAGACATTGAAAGGTATTTAAGAAATAAACCTTTTTGAGCATGGCATGCTTCTTTTGTTTTCCTCACGCAGCTCTTTGGAAAATGAGCCAGGGAAAACCAGCACCACTTCAACCAAAGCCTCATCCGTTCTGTCTCTTTCCAAAAAGTAAAGCTCTTATTTATTGGTATATTTCTCAGATTCATATTAAATAAAATATATGTAAATTAACTAAATCCATACCTTCTGACTTTCTGTCATTGCAGGTTTGGAGGAGGTCTAGATGATCCAAAGAGGTTTGAACATTTAATGTATTATTMTGCTGAAGAACTTTGTTTCTGTGTATGTCTGTTAGCACAATAACTTAAAACACTTAGTTACTTTAAATAAAACTTAAAGAAAGGAATCTCTGCATGTACATCTACAAGTGATTCACTTTCAGAGTTAATTCCCTTCAAGGTGGCCACCAAAGCCAGCTCACCCCACAAAACATTTAAACGACTATAATTCTGTCAGTTGTACAGATGTTGTGCTATAATTGGGTGCGGTTGTAGCTAAGAGTCATTCACGACACCTACTCCAAGCGTGCCTCATTGTGGAAGATATTTGCTTTAAGCTTTAGCATTAATTGTTGGGGGTCGACCCAGTCTGCCTGTCAGTAAAATATCTCAGGAACCAGAGGAAGGATTTTAATGAAACTTTCAAAAAGATGTCATCTTATTTAAAACTATAAGCGACTGACATTTGGAGTCAATGCAACTAAAGATGTCATGTTTTAGCTGTATTTCTCTTGTTCTGGCAGTTCTGTTTCTTCAACCAAGCCTTCACCCACCTACCAGAAAAAGTATGTTTTTTAAACACCAATAGTTTTATTGTATAAAAATCTTGTTTTGTTTTGTTTTGTTGAGAAAGTGATCAGAACAATCTGCTTGTTTGTTCTTATAGATACTCAACTGTGAAGACGGACACTCCCAGCTCGTATGTGCAGCTCCATTATAACAAAATGTGAAATAATTAACTGGAAAACAAACGATTTGATGGACAGATATGTTGTTTTAATGCTTCCACAGGGTCACGACTACAGTCAAAGAGCAGCCAAAGACAAGGTGTGCAACCAAAAATGTGCAGCAAACTAAAAACATAAAGAGCAATTCTTTTGAATCATTTTTTCTGTTTGTTTGTTTGTTTGTTTGTTTGTTTGTTTGTTTGTTTGTTTGTTTGTTTGTTTGTTTGTTTGTTTGTTTAGCATTACAACCACTACTGTGACCAAGAATGGAGTTACATCTGAGACTACCACCAGCAGCAGCAGCAGCCAGATTATCAAGTACAGATCAGTTTACGCACTTTATCCAGTCTGAGTTTACATCACTGGAATACCTTGTTTAAATTTATGTTTTTATTTTTATTCTTCAAAGATCGCCTGAGATTAAATCTCCCACTGCATTCACTGAGCGTGTCAAATCTTCAAGCAAAGAGTAAGATTCTATAATTGTACTCAAACTATACAGATTAATAATAATTGTCATTTTTTTCATGCTTTAAGCTAATTCATAATTATTGGTTAAAGTAAATCCTCGTACATGGGTCCCATTAACTTCAGCTCAATTAAAAGCTGTTTAATATCTGCTTATGTGCTGTACCCCCTCAATTATCTCTTCAGGGTCTTAAACCAGGAAGACAGATTTTAGTGTAAAACATTATTTCTATATTGTAAATCAACCTATGTATACATTTTTTTCTTATAAAAGGACTTGAAGTTTGTCCAAAAAAATAACTTTTTTGTCTTTACAGTATAGCGGGATTTATTACAAATCTGAGAGAGCAATCATTAAATAGCTCTAAAATATCTGCACCTATAAGTTAAAGCTACTTTCCTCACTGTCTTTGCTCTTTTTACACCCAGTGCCCAGTACACAGCATACTCACCTACCAGAACAACGAAAGTGACTGAGAAAACTGTCACCTCCACCAATGAGTAATATGTCTTCCTTCTTTATTCTTCTTTCGGCTGTTCCCTCTTCAGGGGTCRTCGCCACAGCGAGTCATCCATTTATCTCCTCTTTGGTCTTACTTTTTGTCTTTTTCCTGGCGGCAGTACATCTAAAATCCTTTCATCGATATAGAATTTTAGATTGGATTAGATTAAACTTTATTGTCATTACACATGTACAAGTACAAGGCAGCAAAATGCATTTTGGCATCAAAACACATGTGCAGAATATGTTATTGCATGCTGAGCTATGACCATGATATACAGGTAAGGATAGGTAATACAGTACTGTACAGGTGCTGGTCATAAAATTAGAATATCATGAAAAAGTAGATTTATTTCAGTAATTCCATTTAAAAAGTGAAACTTGTATATTATATTCATACATTACATTCAAACTCATATATTTCAAATGTTTATTTCGTTTAATTTTGATGATTACAAATGACAACAAATGAAAATCTCAAATTCAGCATATCAGAAAATTAGAATCTTGTGAAAAGGTTCAAAATGGATGGCACCTGGTACCACACTCTAATCAGCTAATTAACTCAAACCACCTGCAAAGGCCTTTAAATGGTCTTTCAGTCTAGTTCTATGGGCTACACAATCATGGGGAAGACTGCTGACTTGACAGTTGTCCAAAAGATGACCATCGACACCTTGCACAAGGAGGGCAAGACACAAAAGGTCATCGCTAAAGAGGCTGGCTGTTCACAGAGCTCTGTGTCCAAGCACATTAATAGAGAGGTGAAGGGAAGGAAAAGATGTGGTCGAAAAAAATGTACAAGCAAGAGAGATAACTGCACCCTGGAGAGGATTGTGAAACAAAACCCATTCAAAAATGTGGGGGAGATTCACAAAGAGTGGACTGCAGCTGGAGTGAGTGCTTCAAGAACCACCACACACAGACGTATGAAAGACATGGGTTTCTGCTGTCGCATTCCTTGTGTCAAGCCACTCTTGAACCACAGACAGCGTCAGAAGCGTCTTGCCTGGGCTACAGAGAAACAGGATTGGACTGCTGGTGAATGGTCCAAAGTCATGTTCTCTGATGAAAGTAAATTTTGCATTTCCTTTGGAAATCAAGGTCCCAGAGTCTGGAGGAAAAGAAGAGAGGCACTTCATCCACGTTGCTTGAAGTCCAGTGTAAAGTTTCCACAGTCAGTGATGGTTTGGGGTGCCATGTCATCTGCTGGTGTTGGTCCATTGTGTTTTCTGAGGTCCAGGGTCAACGCAGCCACATACCAGGAAGTTTTAGAGCACTTCATGCTTCCTGCTGCTGACCAACTTTTTGGAGATGCAGATTTCATTTTCCAACAGGACTTGGCACCTGCACACAGTGCCAAAGCTACCAGTACCTGGTTGAAGGACCATGGTATCCCTGTTCTTAATTGGCCAGCAAACTCTCCTGACCTTAACCCCATAGAAAATCTATGGGGTATTGTGAAGAAGAAGATGCAATACACCAGACCCAACAATTCAGAAGAGCTAAAAGCCACTATTAGAGCAACCTGGGCTATCATAACACCTGAGCAGTGCCACAGACTGATCGACTCCATGCCACGCCGCATTGCTGCAGTAATACAGGCCAAAGGAGCCCCAACTAAATACTGAGTGCTGTACATGCTCATACTTTTCATGTTCATACTTTTCAGTTGGCCAACATTTCTATAAATCCTTTGTTTTTATTGGTCTTCAGTAATATTCTAATTTTCTGATATGCTGAATTTGAGATTTTCATTTGTTGTCATTTGTAATCATCAAAATTAAATGAAATAAACATTTGAAATATATGAGTTTGTATGTAATGTATGAATATAATATACAAGTTTCACTTTTTAAATGGAATTACTGAAATAAATCTACTTTTTCATGATATTCTAATTTTATGACCAGCACCTGTATATGAATGTGCCTGCTTCCTTACACCCTCAAGTCCACAATGAGCTCATTGGTTTTACTGGTTTTGCTGTCAGTGCACCAGGCAACCAGGTGCTTTAGCTCCTCTCTGTAGGCTCTCATCATTGTTGTTGATGAGATCAATCACTGTGGTRTCGTCAGCAGATTTTATGATGGAATTGGAGAGGGCTGCAGTCGTAACTGTCCCTCCTCTGGACGTGTCCCAGCCATCTCAGTCTGGCCTCTCTAGCTTTATCTCTCAGTCGTTCAGCCTGTACCTGTAAACTGCAGCGGATCTGGTTGTTTAACYTGTGTTTCTGTGCAGCGCGGAGGATAAACTGTTTGACACTCTCATCCAGTCACCTTCCAAGGATGATTTCTCAACTACAAACAGGTAACATTTAACTTACTTTTAAAAACAATATGGGTATTGTAAAAATGAGCATAAACTCATCATACACATGCCGTGCTTTCCTCTTTGCAGAAAAACGACTGTCACCACAATCGAGACTGTGAAGGTGAAAAGTAGCTCTGATGCTGAGTAAGTTCCACTATATCTGCTGTTGTTCTGAGCCTCTGAACACTATTACATGTCAGTGATAATGTACCAAAGTGTTTCTGCATCATAAAAATATAGTTGCTTGTCTTAGCACTTATATAACATTTTTTTGTCTCATTTTATTTATTTATATATATATTTTGGTAGAATAAGTCAATTCAATGCCCAGATGGTCTGTAGGTGTGTGACAGGATGTGTGAGCGCTCAGTAAGCCTGCTGTCTCAGCGGCTTTCTTTGCTGCATACAGCCAGGACAACAATTTACAAATTTTATTTAATTTTATTTTGGTAGCGGGTGRTAATGGTTTTGCATTTGTCTGTAAATGTGTTTGTGTATGTCTGTCTGTTAGCAAAGTATATGAACCACTAAGCAGATTTTAATGAATCTTTCTTAAAGTAATTATGGGCTGCACATCTACTGATTCACTTTTAGAGTCAATCAATATCAGCTAGCTGATATTAACAAAATACCAGCTACAACGCAGTCAGTTTTACAAATAATGAACTTATGTGGTAGTAGCTGAGAGTTGTTCACAACACAAACCTTTAGTGTGACATCTCATAAAATTATGAAAATCTGCTCATCCACCTATCCATGAACGTTTGAAAATAATTAGGAATAAATAAATAAAATGCAGGTATTTGATGAGGTCGTGCGTTGTGACTTGTTCTTAAAAAATAAATAAATAAAATGAACCTAAGCCACTGAGGGGCTGCTGACTGGCACTTAGTTGATGCGTTGTTGTCCTGGATCCAATGAATGAAGAATTAATTGATCACAGAGAGCATTTACAGTATTTGATGTTGCGCTCTCCAACAACATGTGAAACTTAACGTTGCAGACTTACAACGTTAACAGAGGAGTCAAAAGGTTTACATGATTGCCGCAACGCAATAATCAAAAAACATAGCTAATCAAAACAAAAAGACAACGACAAAGGTCAAAAAACTGTGTTTTCCACCGTAATCAACCTGCTGAGAAATTACCTGTGACGCCTTTTGAGCCTTACATTTATTAAAGCCTCAAATTATGTCAGTACAAAAGTGTGCAAGGATCACGTGTAGCTGAGAACAAACACTTTTCAGCTTTTGCTACATCCTGTTTTTGGGTTGATGTTGATTTAGTAATTTTTGGTCATCGAACTGACTGAGAAAATGTTTTTCCCTTGTAGTGCTGAGAACAAACTCTATGACTCACTCATTCCCACGTCTATCAAAAATGATGCTCCAAACAGGTAAAGACCACCTATAAAAATGACATCTTTACCATCTTTTCTCACACATAATAACCCTTTTTWAAAAAGTCTAAACATGTTTTATGTCTTCTTCTTTTTGCAGCAAATCAACACTCACCTCTACTGAGACTGTGACGATAAAAAGCAGCTTTAATGATGAGTAAGTTTCATCCCGTTAGATCACACTGCATTTATTTTAATGAAGTGACAGGTATTTTTATACAGTATTCAGATAAAAGACTGCAATTGTTAAATTGTTTTGTAGCCATTTGTAAAGCTATGAGTGGCTATACCAGCAATAAAAGAAAATCTACAAACTCTTCTTTTTTCTGACAGTGATGACGATTACACTCGCAGCTCCTTCAAAGAGTCTTCCTCAAACATGTAATGATCCTTTATTTTGTTTATTATAGCTTTAACAAATACTTAATAAACATTTATCAGACAGTTTAAACTTAAAAAATACTACATAACAGGGTAATATTTGACAATTTAATAAAGCATTCTAAAAATCAGCATAAGAATTTATTAATGTTCATTCCATGTATAATGCATTGATTAATCACTTTCCACAGCAAAACATCGATGACCAGTACTGAGACTTGGACAGTGAAAAGCTCCTCTAACATGTACGTTCATCCAGACTCTGCGTACGGCTCAGAAAAAAAGAAAAATATAATCATTTTAATAAGTGATTTTCTTTTTTATTATACTTTAGAGACACAAAAACATCAAAGACTTCCTTTGTGTAAGAGAAAACTCAATTTTCGTTTCATTTCTTTTCATCAAAATAGTTGAATTGCAGCTTTAACGATCGCACGTTTGAAATATAATTTATGTTATACAGGGCTGAGGATCAGCTGTACGACTCCCTGCTGCCTAAAGCCATCACATCTTCGCCCATAAGGTGAGCTCTCTAAACAAATAATAACTCATTTAAAAAAAAAGGAAATTAGTTCTTTTTTAGTAATATATTGTCTCTGTAACACAAGCAGCACAAAGAAAGACATCACCATAGTGGAAACCAGCAAAAGGTGAGAGATTTAAAAAGTCTTCATCGTTCTTTTCTATATTTTTAGGCTCAAATTTTAATATTTTATTTTGTGTTATTCAGAAGTGACAGCCCGACTCTGTCAACACCAACCTCATTACGCACCAGCAGGTAAAATCAATAAAAAACCTTTAAAGTGGTTCAGAATAAGATGTGAACAAGTCTTCCTCTGGTTTCAGTTTATTGCTCTCAAGTTAGGTTTGGCCTCTAATGAGCGTGTTGGTGTAACTAACATACACAGGCCCCGTTCAGCTCCTAATAGCTCCGTGAAGGACCTAGTGGATATTTTTTCCAAGTATGTAAATAGAAAAATGCCTCCTAATGGTGATTTCAGAATTGATCGTGTTTCAAACAAATCTGAGGTAATCACGTAAACTTTGAAAACTGATTGAACAAATCGCATAATTTTCTGATTTATTCTCATTTGATGAGATAACAAAATCAAAGTTCTGGTTTATTTGATTCTGAAATAAAGGATCAGTCACTTAAAAACTTATAATTGCCAATCAATTGCTAATAATCAACAATAGATTTTAACTACATCTTTCTTGTCAATCATAAACACGCATGTTTAAAATCCTCAGTGTCAAAGAAAATGTTTTGAAGTGTGGTTCTGTGAAAAAACTTTTACATTATTAGATAAAAGCCTCGTAACAACTTGCACTAGCACTTTTCAAGTAAATTTTACTTATAATTTTTACTTTATACCTTACTTAAACTTTACTTATACTTGTCAGTATTAAGTAAATGTAATGAATTTACTGAGTAATTATTATTCAATTAATTTCAAATTATGTAATTTTTATGTAAATAAATTAAGTAAAGTAAATAAAATATTGCAACAATATTTTATTCTAATGAAAATTGTTAGGAAGATTTTATCTAGTAAATCTTACACGTTATTTTTTAGTGTGTGGTTATTTGCAAAAACAAATAGCAGCAGCAGCTACCTGTAGTACCTTCCATGCAGCTTGAGAACACCCTGCAGGAATATTGTAATATATTGTTTGTTGTTTTTGAGTTTTTAATCATTTTACCAAACAATTTAGGTGAATGGATTTTTTTTGACTATCTGTGTTTTTACAACTTAATTAGAGGTTTTGGTCATTTTTTCCCAAGAAAATTGACCTTTTGTTTTGAGCTTTTGAGAGAATATAAATATCTTAAGAACTGATCTGAGAAAATAATTAGCTAGTCTCTTTCATTGATTTAGAGCTTTGTGATTTATGCAATCAGTACCCCCAAATGAAAGTTTCAGAACCATATTTATAAAACAAAATAAACTGAAGTAAACTCAATCACCATAGTGTAATAATTTTCCTCTTTAATGCTCAGTTACAGCTCATACACTGATGATACTCCATCCACCCGCACCAGCTCCTACAGGTAACAGCTTCAGCTAATATTTATAGYCAGGAACTGTAGTTGTGTGGTTTTTCTGTTCTCTCAAATTATTTCTATGTTTGTTCACTCAGCAACAGCTACAATAAGACCTACTCGTACTCACGACCAGACACCAGGTAAGAAGCCAAGCAAAGCAAGGCCTGATATGTAATAACACACAATGAATAAGACCAAATATGACTTTCACTCTGTGGTTGTCTTCTTGTAGTTACGAGTACACCAGTGTCACCAGTCCATCTGTCTTCACCTCACCATCATACAAGAACAGCAGGTATGAAATGGYCATAAGCATTTTCTGGTTTCAAACGGATTCTCATCAGTTTTGCATAAAAAGTAAAACAAAACTGTCACTCTCACAGCTGGTCAGATGATACTCAGACAAGTTTGAGCTACTCTAAATCTCCCAGTGTGTATACAACTCCTGAAAGGTAAGAAAAGAACAAGTTGTACTGACTCTAAATGACCACCCATGCCAGATGAACACTAACGTCAACATGCCAACATGCTCACAGCGACAACATGCTGATGGAAATCATTTCTCGTCTTTTCCCACACTCATCAACTTAGTTTGGCATGTTGGCATTAAATAAGAGAGTGAACACACACACACACACACACACACACACACACACACACA